ATTAAAAGGCTTTTAAATGACTCACTCTATTTTTAAGAGTAAAATTAAAGGATGCTCTACAAAAACAATATACATTATGGATTACTACGTATTTAATATGCAAATTTATTTTACAAAATGAAATGTAATTTAATTTTAAACAAGTTTAAAAAGTAATTAACGGTATTCATCAATTAGAAGAAAGAAAAAAAGTTTAAAAAAAGGACACAAAATGAAGGACTGAAAATTAAAAGGAAGTATTAAACGATGTTGGAAAAATGATTAATGCTGAAGTTGATCATTTTAATTAAGAAAGTAATTAATTGAGACTTCAGTAGAAGTCTCAATAAAGAAATTAATGGTTGTTATTAAATTAGTAAAGAATAAATTTTAAATCTTTTATAAAATGAAATAAACAAAATACAAATTTCAATCTTAATGTAATTTATAAATATGTACTTTATTAATAAACGCATTGCAAATAATTCATTTATTTATAAAATTATTATAATAATTTATTAATTATATATTATATTATATTATATATATATATATATATATATCATATGTATTATATATATTACATAATATATCATATATAATACAAAATATAACATAAATTGAAGAACAGGATTTTATTTTTACTAAATATCATCAATACCATCATTAATTTAAAACATATCTTTGAGATAAGTGCAAGTACTACCTCTGAGTAAGATATTTTTAAATACTATCTCTGAGAAAGGTATTCTGAAATAATGACTATTATAAATACTATATTTGGGTACAGAATTCTTAAATATTATTTAAAAAAATAGAGTTTGACATCCCAAAGAATATTTAAAAACTATTTTCATTAAAATCTGGAATATAAATGAATTGATATTGAGATGTTGAGGTTGAAATTTGTACGGATAGACAGTGACAGTATTTTCTTTGAAAATGAATTTCAGTGATATATTAAATGACCAATTATTAAAAAAAAGGTTAAAATTACAAGTAAAACATCTACAAATACTTAAATAGTTTAAAGTTGTAATTTAAAATATATTTGGAGTTTATTTAAATTATTTTCATGTTTTTTTTAAAGATCTGTTATAAAATTCCAGACTGGTATTTTCTTATTAAGGATTTCAGTCTAATAAGTTTAATATTTGCTAATATTTAAAAGTGAAAAATATACAAATATTGCTAGATCATAAAACTGGATTGCTTGTAATTAAAATCAGAGTTGTACCTATTTCGAAATTGCATTTTGAACGTATATTAATTGTGCACAAAATGAAGTGGAGAAGTACACAATAAAAGTTATACTTTCCTCTGTTATAACAAATCGAAACGACAAATTTAACAGCTAGTGATATATATAAATATATTATAATTTATCGAATAAATTGTGTATAGAGGATTTAAAGTTAAAGTTAAAAAAAAACATGATTTATTTATGTTTATTTATTTTAAAAATCAAAAAAATCAAATTTATAACATAATTTGAATTTTTCGTTACAATTTCAACGAAACGTCTATATACATTACAAAATATTATCAACTAAAAAACAATATTAAGCGTATTCGCGCACTCCCAAATACGGTAAAAAACAAGTCTCTTGCTAAAGTCTCTTGCTAAGATATTGGCATCACTATTTCAATCTGTCAAATATCATGTTTCCACAATCAACAAATCTTAATTATGTGTACAAAACCAAAAGCAAAGTAAATTTTGTATAAATTTAAACATTTTTAAAAAAATTAAAATGAACAGCGAATTAAAAGCAGTGGTAATAATATAGGAACTTGTGAAATGTCCTTTAATAACAAAATTAATTATAATTCGAAAAAATGTATGCCTTAATAAGCAAAAACTTATCAATTATTTAGTCTTTAGTAAGAGATTTGTTGGTTTTTATCGCACTCCCGATCGACCGATCGCAACTGTTGTAAAAAAACTATTAACAACTATTTTGCTATGTTACAGTCTCTTTGATAATTAGAGACTTCATAACTAGTCTTTTAGAACAAGAGAGTAGTGTTGTTGTTTTGCATATAAATTAGAGACTTTAGTAAGAGAATTGTTGTGTTTTATCACATTCCGCGGCTGTTGTAAAAAAACTATTAACTAAAAAAACTAAAAAACTAATAAAATCTATTAATAATTTAAATATTATTATTGTTGATTTTACAATGGTTTTTCTATATGAGTGTATTTTAATAATATTACAAAAATATATCAGTTCAATAATCAATAACTAATAAGTAAAAATAACTTTTAAAATTCAAACAAAGGGCGTTAAGGCGTTAAGTGAACTTTAAAGATTTAAAGCCTTCAAAAGATTTTAAAGGAGTCATTAGGAAATAAGCAACAGCTTAATGTGAGAAAAATGGCGCGATAAAGTTATGCACAGCCTCCACTCTTCCTCCTGGTGTTGCTTCCTGTTCTACTTGTTAAACTTCTAAAAATATTAAAAATTGCCTTAAACTGCGAATTATGAACGACAGTGAACACTGAACAGTGAACAGGGAACAGTGAACAGTGGAGCAGGATTTAATATTGTGTTTTATTTTGCTGCAGGTAAACGATAACACAAAACTGTAATTAATGTAGCCTCAAAGTAAATTGTGCGGTGTGCATTTGTGTGTGTTGGCATCTATGTTGCGTTTGCGTGTGAGTATGTCTGTGTGTGTAGATGTAGAATTTAATAAGGTTGGCAAAAAAAAGTAAAGCTCTTGTTCGCACCACTCAAACTGAGACTGGGAAAACTTGATTTGTGTTTAAAAATTTTTAGGCAAAAACGATTTGTATTAACAACTGCTGCGAAAACATCAGCAAGGACGATATTAGCAAAGTCGATGGAGGATACAGAGAATTCAGAGTTAAAGGTATACCCGCCACACACCTCATGTAACAATAATATGAACGAAAACGAAAATGAAAACGAAAAGAGCATAAGCAGGCACATAAAAATTTAGGGTAAATGACAATGGGAAAAGCTTTTTGCTGTTTTGTTTTTATACCTCAGAAATAGTAAAATGGTAAACGGTAAAACAAGTAAGTTATGAAAGGATAATAAGTTGAATGACGTCATTTGTGATTTTACGGATTACGATTATTTGATTCAATGATTTTAGAATTTAAGAAAATCTTTTTAAAATTTATCAAATCAAATCAGTTTATATCAAATTTATAATTTTAGTTTTAAAAATAGTTTTTTTACATAAATTTAATGTTAATGTTTTATAATTAATTAATAAAGATAGATTAATTTTTTTTTTATTTTTCAATAAAATATGAACATTGATTTATTAAAAAATTAGTTTATTAAATAAAATTATTTAAATAAAGTATAACAAGTGGTTCAATGTACAATAGGAAATGTTATACCAGACAAAGATTTAAGACTAAGTAGAAATTTATTTTACTACAATTTATTAAAAAAAAATTTGAATTTGAAGAAATAGTTTGAATAATACTATAGATTATATAGATTCCTAATATTAGGAGATCAGGAAAATTCCTGATGAAGGCAAAAGCTAATTTGCTGAAATATCTGTAGAGATATACAAAATACAAATATACAAAATAATTAACTTTTTATTAATTTTATTATAGAAATTAATTAGTTATAAAAAAAAATTATTTAAATAAAGTAAAATACTTGTTTCAATATATAATACGAATTATTATATCGGATGAAGGAAAAAAATTCTGTAAGTAAATTCAGTACTACAAATTTTCAAAGAAATTGAATTTGATGAAATAGTGTGAATCCATTATGGGAAAAATTATGTCCGGATAAATTTATAAAAAATGTTAAAGGCGTTTAAAAATAATTTAAAATTTTTTAATTTAAAATCCAAAATATAATATAAAAATAAAAAAAACTAAATAATGTACCAATCATAATATCGGATAAAGAAATAAGACTCTAATTCCTAATCTTCCTAATCCATTAAGACTCTAATCCTAATCCATTCCACAACAGATCTCTAGATCGCAGTACAAAATCCCACAAATATATAATTATTATTACAAAGTGCATTTTATATATTTATTCATCTTCTTTTTATTGCGCTTATATGAAAAACCTTTGCAAAATTAGTTACTGTTATAAATAAATTTATAATTTTTTTTTATAAATATATGTATAAACCAATATGTTAAGTAAATCATTATCATATTTAAGCATTTATTAATAAACATTTACATGTGCCATATATTTCCAATACTATAATTTTTAAGATTTTATAAATACTTTTGGTATTTATGCAGATCTACAACAATAAAAAAGGTTTTAAGTATATGTTATTTGCAGACATCAGCAACTGTCAAAATAATAAAATTGTCAAGATGCATCTAAATTGGTGTACTTCATAAAAAATTACGTCGAATAAAGCAAATTTTAGTAAATAAAACATAAAATATTGATTGCACTGACGCACATCTCTGACTTAGAAAATGTGTATTAAATTTTATAGAACAGTATTATAATCTCTTAGGAGATACATTGAAGTAAACTTAAAAATGCAAACATCAAGTCAAACTTATATTTTGCACATTTTTACAAATTCAACACTGCGTGATTTTGATATTCAACAATTTTTTCTAAGAATCATAAATTTACTCCACACAAATTGGTAATTGAAATGAAAAATAATATTGAAATGAAATAAATTATTTCATGTATGTAAATTAATTTATCTTTTGAGTTTAAAAAATTATATGAAAATGTTAAGCAGGGATGTTTCATAGTTTTTAATAATAATTCAATATAAGTCATACATATGCAAAAAGGTTTAATTGAACTTTAGCCAAATTTACTGAAAATAGTGGTCTTAGAAGAAGTCAATTACTCTCAATAGTACTTGATATGTACTATTGATCAATAGTACGCCTATGATCAATAGTAAGCAACCATGGCGTTCAATGGTTCGTGATATCAACCTTAATAAGAATAACTAACGCAAAAAAGTAAATTGGAAAGTGCTCTGAAGGCGTACTAAACCAAAGCTTTTGGAGAGAAAGAATGGACGTTTTAACCAACTTCTGCATCGTTACACAAAGCGCACGTCAACCAACACGGAGTGAGAGACAACATTCCATATTAATTTCGAATACACAATGGCTTCCACAACCACCAGAGGCAGACCTGGTCAACTTTACGATTTTGGACATTTTGCAGGTTAAGGTAATCAATAAGTAATAGCAAAAGAGTAATTAGTTCAAGAAATTTCTACTTTGGTTCTTCGTGAATAGATGAATTGAAAAATAATTTAGTTAAATTTAACAAATTTATTCAAAAAATTCTCTATTGGTTTAATATTCCAATGAAAAAATACATTCTGTATTAATAGTTTAATTGAACTATTCTGTGCATGTTTCACATACCTATATAAAGAAAAATTATTGAGTGGGTGTATAATAATTGCATTTTATTTTATTTTTTTTGTATTTTATTTAAAAAAACAACATTTAAAGAAAACATCTTTAAATATTTATTATGTATTTATATTTCAATTGCATAATTTATGTTAAAATCAATTGTTTATATCGCAACTATAAGATATAATCAACAGATTTTGATTTTTCGAACCACTGTTCTAGTTTATGTAACAACTGTAAGATATAATCAATAGATATTGCTTATTCCAACTGATATTCTAGTTTAGGTAGCAACTGTGAGACAAACTCAGAATCTAGCAACTTACATTCTAGTTTATGTACCAACTATCAGATTTAATCAACAGATTTTTATTATTCCAATTAAAGTCTGACAAATATCCAAAAAGTATTTTTTTTATCATTTTATTTACTAGATTGTAAATTATTATCTTTAAAGATAAATATAGAATAGAACATGACACAGACGTTTTTAATCCAATTGATATGAATATGTATATCTACTTGCAAAGTAAATAATAATCATATAGGTGTATATATTATTAATATGAACTTAATTTTAAAGACGTTGCACTAAGGTGCGTCGAAAACTGACACTAGTTAAAGTTAAAGATCACCACCCGAGAGAATCTAAAGACTATGATATATGGAAGGTTAATAACACGGGTTATAGAATGGGATGTAACAGTAGAAGTTGTGTGGGAATGGGGGAGGGATATAGGTCTGGATAAGTGTTAATTGAAAGTAGTCTGATTTTGAATAAATGTGCCTGGTCACTAGTGTATATATATGGACAGCAAAACAAATATGTAAAATCATGAGGGGTTGAGCTGCAGTTCGACCACATATTAAGAGTAGTTGCCGCATGATATGGCTGCGTTTGATGCATTTTCTAAAATTCACTGAATAGATATATACTCAAATACCTAATTCACTATTTAACAAACATCTAAATAAAATTAATATGATCAAATAAAGTGAATAATAACAAAATTAAATGCAACAAACTAAAGAATTTTTAAAATAACTCTTATACTTCAAGTATTTAGAAAAATAAATTTTACAATGAAAATGTTCTTAAAAAATATTTCTTTTTTACCTATAAGTGTTAAAAGCAAAGCAGATATTTTCATTTTCTGTAGAAAATCTTAAAGTTGCACTTAACTTGAGTGCTGAAAACTGCTGTGTCTTTCTTTAAAATTTACATCTTTTGCATGAGGACCAACCTATCTACCATGAATAGCTGTTTACTTTTATTTTCTTGGTGTTTTAACTTGTTTGTCTCAATCTTTAAAGTCCTTTCAAAGCCATTGTCATATGTCATTGTTACTGCTGCTCTTATAAAAGTAAATATATCAACTTCAAGGCATTTATATAATTTTTATATATGGAAATATACGCACATATACATATATGTGTACAAATACAGAGTATGTATGATATATATCCATGTCCTCGAGACATTACTTGTTTGTTTTGGATTTTATTTCTGGCATTGTTAGAGCGTTTGAAATTGGAACCTTGATTTCCTTTGCATTGTTTTTTATTTATTATATGTTGTTTTTTTTTATAGTTATTGTGTTTCATAAAACAAAATGCTATAAAAACACTATGTACACATAAGTAAAACACTATCTAATAGAAAACTTTACAGGTTGTTTAACATTTAAAATGCCATAGTATTAATTTGTAAGTCGAATGTAGCAATTTACACTAAAGTTGGAAATAAACACAAATCCCTAATAGTGCTCAAAAAAAAAAATTGACAGTAATTATAAGTTTATAAGAATCACAATAAAAACTTGCTTTAGTAAAACTAAGAAATTATATTTAAAAATAAAGAAATTAATTAAATATTACATAAAATATATATTAATTAAAATTAAAGAAAGATTGCTTATAGTTTTTCTAATCACTATCGAATATGATTTGAAACGTGTGGTATTTAAAAATAAAAAAAAACTACATAAGCTGTATAGTTTGCGTATATACTATATCTATGTTTAAACATGCAAAGAAGTAAACAATATTTATTTGTAAATTAAATGTCTACAATACAGTAGAACTACCGGTCATTAGATAATTAATAGAAATTCATTACTAAAAATAGCCAAAAGCACCAAAAATAACTTATACTAAACATAATTTAATTTAAACAAATAAAGTTCGCCGCTTATAGTCCGATGAAAATTAATTTTCGAATAGCTGCCAACCGCAATATAAATACAATAGAGTTTATTTGATTTGTAAAAAGCCCTCCATATGATTAACTGCGGTTACCGGAAACTAGGACATACGAACGAAATGATCAAAACGCTTGACACGTTGTCGCTATTTCTGGTAGTACATTAATATTCCAAAGTGCGTGTCTACAAAATATTAATAGCTAAACAAGTAAAAATAGTATATATAAATATATATATATGTATATACTATATTTGTAAAGCATGCTTATGTACAAAAATCAAACACAAAGCAATTTTCGTGAGTTAAATCAACTTGTTAATTTTTGTTGCAAACATAATTAACCAAAGGAAAATTTCTAAGCTACTTTTAGATGATAAGAAGTTTAAGCTTAGAAACACGTATTAAAATGAGCTAATTTGTTTAGAATTATTGACAGGCAATAAACATATAAATAAAAACTTTTTAACATTATTTTATAAAAATAATAAATATCACGTACTTCTCACACGATCGTTACTATAAAAAATAAACAAAACAATTAATAAATAAAAATAAATACAAAAATACAAAAATAAATTAATTATAAAAAATTAATATAATAATTATTAGGAAGTAATTATAAAAAATTTATCAATAGAAAGAGTTATAGACACAAGCATAATGCATTACACGAAGGAGCATACAAAATTCTCAAAGACTGAAGATATTCTATGAAGTCAAAGAATTAGCAGACAAACATCAAACATTAAGAACTACTCACGCTAGACAAAAAATATACATGGAACGTGCACACATATTTAAGAAAATAAATCACTTTAAAGTCGCTAATTTCTAACGACAAATTAAATACCAGTAATAGACTACACATGTAGATATTAGGTAATATACAAAATATCCGCCGTATTCTGTCACTAGATGGTGTTAGTACCTTTCGATCTGGAAACACTCATCCGAAGATGTTAAACTTAAATGTGTTTGAGAGATAAAATTTCAACTTACGTTATTTGAGAAGGGAATTGTGTATTTTATCGCCCGTGTAAAAACTTGAAATGACTTGAAAATATATGCAATGATGCTTTATAACTATAAAAAAAGGTAAAATTGCTGCAAAATCGTGCCAAAATATGTGTGCGCTTTACGGAGAGGTTGTGAGTGAAGAATGGACCAGGGAATAGTTTTCTCAATTCCGTTCCTAAAATTTCGATAGTAAAAATGCATCGGACTCTAGTCGGACAATCACTAGAAAAGTTAATGAAGTTTTACAACTGACAGAATATGACCCACACTTATGCAATTAGGTAATAACGAAGACACTTAACATTAACCACATCACATTTTGGAATCATTTAAAAAAAAGAGGTTACGCAAAGATGGGCAATGTTTAAATATCACATGAATTAACTCAAAGTAATTTGATTGACCATATTGTCACCAATAAAACGCTGCAAAATCAAACCACCTTTAAAGCAAATATTTACGGACGATGTAATATAAATAAAATACGGTAATAGTCAACAACTTCAAAGAAGTTCAAAGTCTAAATTGATGACAAACAAGGTTATGTTGAGTGTTTGGTGGGACTGGAAAGGTATAGGCTATTACGAGCTACTCCAACTTAGTGCCCGGTTAATTGACTGACTAACAAACAAGGAGTTGTATTCTGCATAATAATGTCTGGCCCCACACATCTTTAATAACTCAAAATAAATTGACAAAACTTGATTGGAAAGTTTTGAGCCATCTATCGTATATCTTGGACCTTGCATCATCTGACTACTATTTATTTTGGTCTCTGCAAAATTTCAGTTTTACAAATACTGATAATGTAATTTTATCAATATTGTCTGACATACTGTAAGATTGAGGCATTAGTGTCATTAGCATTCATAAAATTTTACATATTTATTTGACTGTGATAAAATTTATCTAACTTATCACATATAACTCATCACATATGCTTTGCTGAAAGTTCAAAAAGATACTCCTAACGATTAGGGCAAACAAATACAAAGCAAGTTATATACATAAATGGATCTATGCAAATGAATCTGTATGGGTGTTTCAGATATATGGAAATGTGCGGAAAATCAAGAAAACCATATTTAAAAATAAACATAAAACGGCATTTTTTAAAATAATAGAATTTAACTATTAATACTGCCTAAAAAAATTATTTTTAAGCATATTAAGAAGAGAGGTTACTCAGAAGTTAGGTTAGGTTAATTATAAAGAGGTTAACAAGAAACCTATTAAAGTTCAAATCAACTCTATAAAGTAACTACATTAAATCAATTCTTATCTTTTAGTACCATTTTTTCTAGACAAATTAAATGCAATTGTTCAAAATTGAAAAAATAATTACAAACTTTTAGATAATTAAGAAATTTTTACATTTATAAAAAAAAATTCATTTATTAATAATAACAAAAAAAAATAATTTAAAAAAATATGTACATATACATATTTTAAAAAAATAACTTAAATTCAACTCAATCTGATATGTATATTTATTTTGTTTTCTCTTTTTATATATTGAAATGAAACATTTATGAAACACTTTTTCAATTTTCTTTGATGTTTAATATTTTCATTTTGTTTGTTTTTTTAATTAT